CTCTCTCTCTCTCACTGTCTAAATCTGCCTGTCAAAAAAAAAAAATGTACTTATCTTTCAAGAATTTATTTATTTGAAAGACTTGGATAGACAGAGAGAAAGAGAGAGCTTCCATCTGCTGGTTCACTCCTTAGATGGCTGCAATGTCCATCTCTGGGCCAGGCTGAAGCCAGGAGATTTATCTGGGTCTCCCTTGTGAGTGGCAACAGTTCAGATACTTGGGCCGGTTCAGATACTGCTGATTTCCCCTGTTCATTAGCAGGGACCTGAATCAGAAGTGGAGCAACTGTGACACAAACTGGCACCATGTGGGATGCATTCTGATATGGGATGCTGGCATTGAAGTTGGCAGCATAACCCACTGCACCACAACAATGGCCCCAATATGTGATTTAATGTTGGGATCCAATTTTCTTTTTCTTTCTTTTTTTAATAGAAAAACTTGTACTTTTGAAATTTATATTTATTAAATAAAACTTTTAGATTATAGTGGTTCTTCTCCCATAACCACCCTCCCACCCGCAAACCATTCCATCTCCTACTCCCTCTCCCATCTCATTCTTCATTAAGATTCATTTTTAATTATCCTTACATACAGAAAATCAACTCTATACTAAATAAAGATTTTTTTATGCTAAGTTCAAATGTATTTTTTTGATAATACAAAAAAGTAATCCTTGAAACTCAGAATACGTAACAGAACAGAGCACAATAACAAGTATTAAACATCTGTATGAAATAACTTGCAAAGTTTGACAAAAATGCACACTTAGAACATGCGGTTATTTAGAAAAAAACAAACAAACAAAAAACACCGCACTATTCTGTAGAACCAATGTTATGTCACCACCAGGAGAGCACCGAGCAAGGCACCACTGGAAAGACAACATACTTGGAAAGTCTCTATAAATAAGATCAACGCTAATCTGGTCGAAAAATCGTTGTCTTTGGTAAAAATTCTATGAGGATGACATATTCCATCATGTTACTCGTTTCATATTTCCTTTGGCTCAGTCTCCAGTGCAAGCACAGCTTGTGGTATAACCTATTGTTTTCCCATTCTAATAACTTCTCAATCAATCTTCGTGTTCTCTTACTGAGGCAGATAACTGGCCACATGCTGCAACCCAGCGTGCAGCAGCAGTAAAGGCAGCCGCAGAGGAGCCAGCGCACATTGACAGGAAGGTTCTTCTTAAGACAACTGTTAACTCTGTTGATGCTGGCTTTGAATTCTTCAGGAGCTACTTTTCCAGTTAATGAAGAAGGGAATTCTGATTCAAATTTGTTGCTCAGTCCAAATCTCCGATGTCTTCTCAAAATCCCTTCGTGGTTGCCAAAAATGTTACCGGAGAAATTGCAGGGTTCTTGTCTTCACGCAAGAAAGAATTCAGGCGTGAGACAGAGAGTAGAGGGAGGTAAAATAGCAAGGTTTATTAGGGAAGGGACATTCATAAGAATGGATGGGCACCTCTCCAGACAGGACCTGAGAGACTGGGGGTGGGGGGAAAGGAGCGAGTTTACATGGTTGAGTAGACAGATTACACCTGACCAGGCTAGGCGGGCGGCTCAGCAGAGAGGCAGAGGGCTGAGCACACTAAGTAAAGATTTCAACAGTTTGCACCCATACAGACACACAAAGTATAAAGTACTGTTTGAAGACTAGTTTTACCATTAATTCTCATAGTACAACACATTAAGGACAGCGGTCCTACAAGGGGAGCAAGTGCATATTGACTCTTGTGGGATCCAATTTTATATATCCATAGAGTCTCCAAGATTATTCTTTGTGCCAGCAAAGAACTGTAGTACTTCTGTTATGACTTACCACTTATCCAAGGCTCAAACTTACTAAATTATTTTATACTTATTTTGTGAATATAGAGATTCTCTTGTGACTATTTTTTTTTTTTTTTTGACAGGCAGAGTGGATAGTGAGAGAGAGAGAGACAGAGAGAAAGGTCTTCCTTTGCCGTTGGTTCACCCTCTAATGGCCGCCACTGCCAGCATGGCGCACCGCACTGATCCGATGGCAGGAGCCAGGTACTTATCCTGGTCTCCATGGGGTGCAGGGCCTCAGGACCATCCTCCACTGCACTCCCTGGCCACAGCAGAGAGCTGGCCTGGAAGAGGGGCAACCGGGACAGAATCCGGCACCCCGACCGGGACTAGAACCCGGTGTGCCGGCGCCGCAAGGCGGAGGATTAGCCTAGTGAGCCGCGGCGCCGGCTCTTGTGACTATTTAATTATCTGATAAATTATAAAACTAGTATCGTAATCAATTTGCAAGGAACAAACATGTCATATGTCAAGTAATAATAAATTTATTTCTGTGTTTGCTATTCCATGTTGTCTGTTATCCCTATGCCAGTACAACATCATTTTAGTTAAAAGTAAATCTTGTGAGGTGGTAAAGTAAGTGTCTTAATTTATACTTTGAAGAATTTCTTGACCCTTATTTGCATTTTTTTAGAGATTTATTTATTTACTTGAAAGGCAGAGTTCAGAGAGGTAGAGGCAAAGAGAAAGAGAGAGAGAGAGAGAGAGGTCTTCCATCTGCTGGTTCACTCCCAAATGGCCACAATGGCCAGAACTGTGCCAATCTGAAGGCAGGAACCAGGAGCTTCTTCCGGGTCTCCCACGCAGGTGCAGGGGCCCAAGGACTTGGGCCACCTTCTGCTGCTTTCCCAGGCCACAGCAGAGAGCTGGATCGGAAGTAGAACAGCAGGGACTCAAGCAGCACCCATGTGGGATGCTGGCACTGCAGGAGGCAGCTTTACCTGCTATGCCACAATGCCTTTTATTTGCATTTTGCATTTCCATGCTTCCATATATACTTTAGAATTTAAAAAAAAAGTTACTATTTTTTATGTGAACCCTTTATATATTTTTTGTTAAGGTGTTTCCTAGGAGCTTTGCATTTCCAGGGGATACTGTAAATGTTATCTAAAAATTGTGGCTGGCATGAGGGTTTTTGTACTTTTTTGTTTCTATCCAGCAACTTCACTAAACTCACATATCTATTTCATTTGTTAGTCTTTTGAATTTTTCTAAATACACATGGTGAATAATATGTGATCTATGTTTATTTTTTCTTGTCCTATTGCATCTGCTAGTAACCCTAGAAAAATTGTGACTGTAAATGATAGCAGCAAGTATCTTTGTGTTATGCTTTGTCTCTTAGAGAAAACATTTAAGAGTATAATATTTTGTGCAGGGTTTTAAAAAATTACATAGTATAGAATTACTCTTTTCTCTTTGGTGTACAGTTCTTAAAGTTTTCACACATGTATAGATTCTTGTAACTATCACTATAATCAGGAAAGAGAATACTTTTCATCCCTAAAATTCCTTTGTGTGCTGCACCTTTCTAGTCCAACTCTTTCCCCATTGCTAGCTCTGACAGCTACTACTGTGATTTGTTTCTTATTCCTCAGTTTTGTCTTTTTCCAGAGTCATATAAATAGAATTAGACAATGGTCAGCCTTCTGTGACAGATGTCTTTCACTCTGCATCATGCCTGTGAGATTCATCTGTGTTGATGAGTTTTTCCAGTCATGCAAGTTTGAGTTTATGTTGACTGATGGAAATACGCATATTTTCTGGCTAAAGCCAGAGTGCTGGAGTGTACTGAGCAGGGGGAAGGAGTAGCAGAAGACGACAGGGAGAGGGATGCAGAAGCCAGGTCATGAAAGGCCACTTGGGCTGCAGCAGGGAGTCTGATTTCACTCTAAGTGCTTTGGAAAGTCAGAGATGAAACAGGATCTGGCTCAGTCTTCCATAGATAACTCGGGCTGCCGTGAGGAGCATCAGTTACAGTGCTGGTAAGAATGAAAGCAGGGGTCCCTACTAGAAGGATCATATTATAGTCCAGGGGGAAAGGTGGTGGTGGGGATGGTGACGCATGGTTTGATGGAAGGGACTGTTTGGATGTAGAACCTAGAGAACCTGCAGGCTCGGTGGGCACATTCCCCCAGCGTGGCTGGTCATAATGATCAGCTTAATGTTCCTCCCTCAGTAGGCCTTCCCAGCGATTCCCCTCATCCACTTTTAGGACTGAAACCGCAGCTTTCCATCCTGATTCATGAGATCCATTTGGAGAAATAGCCTATCTGTCATGTATTTTAAAATGAGGTCTATCTAACTTCTTCCTTCCTCATTCTCACAACCCCAGACACATTTGTAAAATATGTGCTTATCCCAGAAAAACGCTGGCCACAGCATTTTGCTCTGTGCTTCTTTGCAGTATGTATAGTTCTGTGACCCCACATACTTAGCTGTTCTGCTGGAACTAAAGTTGTCTTGGCTGCTTCATGCTTCGCCAGTGGGATGGTAGTTTTAGTGATTGGCTGGAGTTCCTTTGGACACTTGGGACATATTGTTGGAATAAACATGGTTAGATTCAGATTAAAATTGGACCAGAACAAAAAATTTTTGTTCCCCTTTCAGCCTCCATTCACCCTAGAATCTCTCATCTAAAAAAGACAAATAGTCTTGACTTTCTAAGGTGATCTAAAGATTAAAATCAGGCCTGGGAGCTTGCAATCAAGTGGATTTTTTTTTTTTTTTTTCTAAACAGAGTTAAAAATAGAGTTCTCTGATCTGGCATAGAAAGTTTTCTTTTATTTCCTGCTGTGTCTGTTCTTAACAGTTCTGTGTTTGTTCTCGATGAGGCCTTGTCTTCCACTCCTCCTTAAAGACAAACACCTGACCCAGTCCTTATCTGGTACACACTCATCATGGTTTGTTAGGATTTTTTTTTTAACCTTCTCATATATGTTTAATTTGGGGCTTTTCATGCTTCAGAATTTGCTAAAAAGGGAGGGATCTCTCTTTTATCTTGAGGTACTTGTCATATCTTGCCCCATTTTTAACATCTCTTGTCAGGCTATTGTCAAATGATGCTATTAATTACTCAGTTTATTTGTACAAGGGCCTCTGGAGTCTAGAAGAGCTTGCTTGAATTGTGTGCCTAATTTTGTGCTTCTTTTGTGATCTTACAGAATACCAAGCAGCCATTTTACACTTGAAGAGGGAGCACAAAGAAGAAATTGAAAACCTACAGGTACATTTCTTTGATTCTACTGAACTAGTTATTGGATATTTAGTTTTCTCACGTGCTACAGTGAATATTCTTCTTGTGTTGAAGTATTGAATAGAACAGTGTCTGCAGCCTGCACTTGCTAGTAGGCCCTGAGTTTATCCTGGTAATAAAAGCCTTGGATTCTCTATTTTCTAGAATTCACTTCCAAATTTTTTAAAAGTACCATTAATATATTTTATTTCATTGGGAAAGAGATTGTTTTACCTTCAAAGCAGAATGAAAAACAATATTTAGACTTAGACTGTTTATATAAAATATTCTAAAGGTTATTTTTCTAATGCACAGTGTGAATTATGTTCTATTTACTATCGTTCACACATTCATGACTATATGTAACTTAGCACACCCTGCAATGTGATGTCATGCAGAATAAGGCTCTTAGGGAGGGGCCTTACTGTACGAGTCATTCCATGACAAGTCATTCCTGTCTGCAGGAAATGTTGAGAAATTACTAAGTTATCCTCCTTTGTGAAGCCTGGAATGACTCGGAGATCATTTCTCTTGTCTTGTCATCTAATTGTCCTCCCTTATGTTTGGTGTAGACTTGCTGTATCTATGACAGAAAGTTCAGAGTCTTAACTTTAGAGAACCAGTGCTGAGTCCAGTTACCTGGTAGCTGGAGCAACCTTATACTGCAGGAGAGAATAATAGCACTATTTAAATATAACTTTTTTCTTAAGTACCGATTTATTACTTGCTAATTCAATGAATTTGTGATAAAATACTCTTTTTATTTTATTGAAAAAATAGAAATTGTATATATTTTTGGTGTATGACATGTTTTTAAATATACATTGTATGATGTGACTACATTGAGCTAATTAACATATTCATAATCCTATGTACTTACCATTTATTTCTGATGAGAACACTTAAGCTTACCTCTTAGCAATTTTCACATATACAATATAGTGTTATTCAGTACAGTCACCCAGTTGATCTTTTGAAAATTTTATATCCTTTAATCAGTATCTCCCTCATCCTTTCCCCCACCCACTGCCTCTCCCAGCCCCTGGTAACCACCATTCTACTCTTTGTTTCTCTGAGTTCTACTTTTCAGATTCCACATGTGGGGTCATGCCACATTTGTCTTCTTAGCCTGGTTCATTTCACTTAATATTCTACATGTTCATCCCCGATGTTACAAATGATAGGAATTTCTGCCTTTTAAAGGCTGAATAATCTCCCATTTTGATTATATATAGCCCCCACTTCCTTTATCCGGTCATCCATTGATGGGCTCTTGGTTTGATTCCTTAGCTTGGCTTTCATGACTGTAGAATGGATTACATATGAAGTAATTGCAAATATCAAAAACCTACTAGACAAGGACTATGATGTGAGTTCTAGCATCACTCATCCAGCCAGATTTAAGTAGTTCAGAAAAAAGAAACAAATCTGTTTCTTAAAGAAACAGGAGTGGAAAAGTACCTTGTCTCCTGGGGACAAGGAGAGGTGGAGGCCCTTATCTCCTTTGTTGCAAGATGCCCTGTAGAGACCTGTCTTTTTCTTTGTTCTGCTGTGACAAAGATTCTTAGCGGTCTCAGATGAACTGAAGTTGATAGTTAATAGGGATAATTTAAGAAACAGATTCTTAAAGAAGGTAGGTACAGAAGTATTTCTAGAGCAGAAGTTTTAACAACAGCCAAGTTGCAAGAGTTAACACTAGCTTTCCTCAAGCTGTAGTTCAGCCTGTGAGAGCTTTGACAGCTGGCAAGTAGATCCTTACTATTTTTGAGTTCTTACTACGTGGTAGGTGTTATCCCAAGCAGATTATATGTATTATCACATGTCACATTTCTGCAAAATTTCTATGATCTTACATCTCAAACTAAAAAGGTTGGAAATGAGAAAGGGAGGAATAAAAGGTAGAAAAAAGAGATATATTGTGATCAGTGGTGATTTTCATTTAACATATATGTTTATGCTAAGGTATGATTAAAAAGTAGTAAAGTTTTTAAAATTGCTCTTTTAAAAATATGTGTCTAAAAGAATTATCTGCTCCTTTGATGCTACTCATCACATTTTTTAACTTGTATTTATGAATTGTACCTAGCTGCTAAAACCCTGTGGTCACGGCACACTGCTGCCCTTGGGGTGGAATACTTGCTTTACACGTTTATCTGTGATTTCAGAGTGTTCCAGCAGTCATAGATGGATCATGCTTGATTGCAAACTGGCACTCATCTCTGATCTCACCTGGAATTAGAAAGAAATGTTTCAAAAGTTGGTGATTTGCTTAAATAGCAAAACCTGGATTCTTAGTTGTTTCTGACAAAAAGAATGGTAACTCTGGCAATGTAGAGTTGATTGTCCTGTCTGACTTCAGCCTCATGGGTTCGAGCAGCAAGTGCCCACTTTGACTAGCTCATGTGTGCTCCAATCTGCCGCTGTACACTCTGGGCCATTTTACTTGGTTCCTCTGTGCTTTCATTAACCTTTGTTCTCTGGGTTATATTTAAAATAAAATGAAACATCAGATTTGGCAACAACCTCAACTAGTGAGAACAGAACGTTCATAAAATTAACAGATAATCACCCAGCCTGGCTGTAATAGTTGGTACTGGATGCATATCATCTGCGTATCACCCCTTTTCATTCCACAAAGTAACGAAAGTCCCATCTGTTGTGCCAGGACTTGTGCAAGACAAGGGGTAGAAGAACTACCATTTTGGCGCTCCATTCCTTATGTGTAATTTCTGTTAGCAGCCTTCGTTTCTCTTTTTAGAGTTTCTTTCTCCACTGAAGGTCACAAAGAAGTCTGATGAGTCCCAGCACTTCTTCAACATGCCCTTCTAGAATAAGAAGGATTATGTGCATAAACTATGCAGGAAAAATTATTTATCCTGTCACCATCAATAAGAATCCAAATGTATTACATGGCATTTAACTTGTTTTGAATGTTTTTATAGAATTTCTATAAAGAGTATGACATAATAAGTGGAGACTCTAAATTCAGCTTTCCATTTTTGACCATTGATTTGTAGGGAAATCACTTTAATTGTTTAGTTCCCCCACCAGCAGAGGAGGAAACCTTCTCACCTAAAATACTTTGATTGGACAGTTGACATTTTCAGCCTGTAGTCTCAAGGCGGTAAGTGGGGGTACCTGATTTTTTTAATCTTGTGCCTGCTCTGTAGTACATGTTGAGTGCTGCTTTACTGAAAAGGCAAGGGGCTTTGTCTTAGGACTGACTTTTTGAAATGTATAGTATCTTATATTCGCCTTGGAGTTCAAAAGCCAAGATTTATGAATGACTTGAATGAATTTATTCCTAGCACCTTATGTTTATACACCTTTGTACAAACCCAAAGACTTTGGCTGACTTCTCTGTTCAAACCTCCCATGGGAGAGTGATGGTAGATCAGGTATTTTCCATGACTTCACTGGATTTTGTGCCATTCATAATGTAACCACAGCAAAACTCTCTTGTTTAGTTTTGTCCAAATATTCTGCCTTGAGAGATTATGGTTACTCCATGGTATTTAGCACCACCTGGTTCATTTTCCAATTCTGGATAATTCTAGACTTCTAACTTCACTTTTTAAAAGGTGGCACTTTTCCTGTATTTTTCTGCTTTGTGTTGCTATAACAAAATACCCGAGGCTGGGTGCTTTATAAAATAAAAAGGTCGGGAATTCCAAATAGCCTGGTGCTGGCATCCTGGTCGGGGTCTCCTTGGCTGTGTCACAACGTGGTGAAGATGTAGAAAGGGAAACATGAGTGTGCCGAAGGGGCCAGTGCTGTGGTGCACCGGGTTAATGACCTGGCCTGAAACACCGGCATCCCACATGGGCGCCGGTTCTAGTCCTGGCTGCTCCTCTTCCAATCCAACTCTCTGCTATGGCCTGGGAAAGCAGTGGAAGATGGCCCAAGTCCTTGGGCCTCTGCACCTGCATGGGAGACCCAGAAGAAGCTCTTGGCTTCGGGTCGGCACAACTCTGGCTGTTGTGGCCAATTGGGGAGTGAACCATCAGATGGAAGACCTCTCTCTCTCTCTTTCTTTCTATGTAACTCTTTCAAATAAATAAATAAATAAATAAAAATAAAAGAAAGGGAAACCTGAGTGTGCTGAAGAGGGCATGTAGGTGGGGTGGCCTTGCTTTATCACAACCTGATATTGTGGTACTTACTGAGAGAGATGTACTCTAATGAGAAAAGCAATAATCCCTCTTAAATACCTAACCCCCACCCACTAGGCTCCACTTCTTAAAGGCTCTGCCATCTCTTGATACCACCTCACTGAAAACTAAGTTTCAAGCACATGAACCTGTTCAAACCATATCCATATCATAACATTACCTTCATAGGTTCTCACTTATTTCACAAACTTTTGCCATTGCATAGCAAGTTCATCAATATTGGGTAGAAACATAGTTCAGACCTGCCCACTAAGGCATATGAGAAAATCAATTCTCCCGCAGTACAAATAATAAATTTTTTGAAGTTGCTTAGGAGCTAGGATTTGAAAGTCACTGTTAGAGCCGTTTTGTAGAATGATTCTGTATATAGCTGTCTTTTCCATTTTTACAGTCCCAGTTTTGAATCTGATATAATTTAATGCATAATGACAATGTGAAGGAACATGGGTTTTAGAATCAGGACTCCATTTCAACTTCTTGCACTGTGATGTAGAAGTTAATCAGCTCCTCAGAGACTTTTTTTTCTCATTTTCAGGAACTGTACGATAATATAATCATGTTGGTGATGATACCTCCCTTCTAGGGTTGTTCAGTATGATGCACTTTGATGATACCAGGTACATGGTGACTACTCAGGGAATGTTTTTTTTTTTCCTTTTCTCCTATGCAAGAGTCTATAATTTGATAACTTGAGTTTAGGCCTCTCTGAACTTTTTAGGTTGAGGGTTGCTTTGAGACATTTGACATAGTCTTTGAGGGTATCTTTTCTATGATCTTCCAGCTGTTTGCCTCTGTGCAAGGTGGTCTAAACCAGAATTT